CATTTTCATTTTCATTTTCGTTTTCATTTCATTTCATTTCATGTCATGTCATTTCATTTCCTTTCATTTCGTTTCATTTCATGCATTCATTGCATTGATTCATTCATTGATTCATTCATTAGTTCTTTCATTCGTTCATCGGTTCATTCACTCATTCGTTTTTTTCATTTCATTCATTCATTCATTCATTCATTCATTCATTCATCCATTCATTCATTCATTCATTCATTCATTCATTCATTCATTCATTCATTCATACATTCATTCATTCATTCTTTCATTCATTCATTCATTCATTCATTCATTCATTCATTCATTCATTCATTCATTCATTCATTCATTCATTCATTCATGCATTCATGTGTTCATGCATTAGTTCATTCATTAATTCATTAGTTCATTCACTCATTCACTCATTCATGCATTCATGCGTTCGTGCATTCATTTCATTTCATTCTTTTGTTACTTGTTTCTTTCGTTCTTTCTTTCGTTCGTTCATTCATTCATTCATTCATTCGTTCATTCATTCATTCATTCCTTCCTTCCTTCCTTCCTTGCTTCCTTCCATTCATTGCACACTCATTCAAACGGCAGAAAACGGCGAAAACAGGAAAACGAGGAAAACGGCGCAAACGAGAAAACGACGAAAATGGCGAACACGGCGAAAACAGGAAAACGTGGAAAGTTAATGAACTGAACAACTCATTCATTCATTCGTTCATTTACTAAATCGGTGAACGCCGCGAAAACAATAAAACCTCGAAAACATCGAAACTGAACTGCGGCAAGCCAGCTACAAAGGGAGAGCGGTGAAAGCGGCAAAAGCAGGAAAGCGGGAAAAACAGGAAAGCGAGAAAACGGCGAACGGCGAAAACGGCGAAAACAGCGAAAATGGCGAAAACGGCGAAAACGAAAAAATGGCGAGAACAAGAACCGGCGGTTTGCGGGTGTTTTTTTTTTTTTTTTCCCCGTTTTCTCGTTTTCGTTTTTTTTTGGGCATCCGGCTGGCCCACGGCGTGCGATTGAACTGCTCAGCAATGGGGGAGGAGGTGCTGCTGAGCATTTGAGTTACCAAATCCGTGATTGGCAGTCCGCTGCGGCAGCGCGCAGGCCCAAAGCGGTCATGGTGGATTTGGGCACCGGGCATTGTGCTAACACACACACACACACACATGCGTGAAATCCAAATCTGAAAGAAGTAGCTGAGGGGCTACGTAGTTGCAGCAAACTAACATCAGCCAGTTGCTCAGAGACTAAGTGCTGAATTCAGGGAGTTTCGGAATGATGCCTTCTGACAGAACATGGGAGGAGCCTGCATCAATTTTCATGCATTGCAAGGTGATATCAGCGTTTGAGCAAAACATGATTGCACTAATGTTTCCAAAGCTGGATCTTGCCAGCCGGTGGCTACTTGGTAAATATGCATTGGTTTGAACCCTGCCCTTTTGCAGCGCGCCCTTGCTTGGCATCTTTTTAGTTTGTTACAGTCTTGTTGTAGAATAGAGGACCAGACCAAACACACATAGGACGGCCAGCAGTTGGAATCCATGATGTTTGCTGAACGTCCAGACATTTGCGCAAAAAATGAATAGTGGCACTGCCGGGCTGATAGCATCAACATTTGCTTCTATTTTGGAATAGCTGTTGCCCTGCAGGCTTAAATGCATCAAATTCACCGCGCTTTGTGCACTCTGACTGCCGCAGCCATTGGCACAGGTTGTTGCCGAGCTTCAGGCGATTTTAGCATCATATTAGTGCCAACATTGAGCTGGATGCTTTTGGTGGAGTGGCTTTGCCGAAAGTGCAATGTAGTGAATCTATAGTATTTCTGCATCAGAGTTTGCAGCTGTCACAAGTGCGGCAAAGTCATCCTTTGCAATGTTTCCAGAACATGCTGTTTGTCGGAGCTGCAGTTTTACTGACACCATCGCGCCGCCCTTGGCTTTGCGTGGCATTCTTTTGTGCGATTGGTACCATCGTTGGTGCCATTCACTTGAGACCTGTCAGCATTTCAGAATTTTCAACGTGAGTTGCCGTCCAACACTTCTTGTGGTGGTAAGAGTTGTACAAGTGCTTTGGGAAGAGTTGCAGGCTTGCTTCCCGAAGCGCTGGCCCCTGCAGTGACTGGCTGGGGACCCAGGTGCAACTTGCGTCGTGCTTGTTTTAGAGGAACTTGTGTACTGTTTTTTTTTCCCCGCGCAGCTAATGGTTCCTGTGGTCAATTGTTTTCGCAAGCAGTTCCAGAAGTCCTGATTTGACGCACCGACCAATTTAATGACGTGCTAGAAACATGTTCTTCAACGCAGTTGTGTATCATTTGATTCCAGCACAGATTTGTTGTAACAAATGGGACGGACGTTGATGGGTTTACATGGTTTCTTTCCAAAGGGAGGGCTATTTATTGCAATCGCTACGCGATCCGCCGCTGCAAGGGATGTTAAGACCATTTTTCTTTTTCGCGGAAGTCTGAAAGGCCAAAACAAGGCCTTCTTGGCACTTTCCTATTTTTCAGTCAGGAAACATGTCCCAGATGCTGGGGATGCTGGAAATGCAAGGGATGCAACCACACAACAACCTTCGCATCCAACATTTCAAGACTTTCAGACACACAAAATTGACGTAACACAGCAAATGCCAGAGATGTCGGGAATGCTGGGAATGCAGCCAACCGGCCACAAAAAAGTCCCAGGATTTGTTGATATTTCCCAAAATCAACCATCAGAAGCAGATACTAGCAACCCCCTTCAAATACCCCAAAAATTGACTTCCAAAAGCACGATGACGCAGGGGATGTATCGCAGTAACTGCTTCGTAAAGGTGTGGAATGGCAAAAAAAGAAACAATTTCATAGCAGCAAGGTAACCCTGATGATGCTGGGGCCAAGAGAACTAGGCGAAACGCAGGTTTTTAGCAGGCAAGCCCCAAAAACACTGGACAATTACAGGTTTTGGACACCCAGCACACCATGTCCAAAAAATGGCAGCCCCAAAAGCCTTCTGCTTTGATAAGAGATCCGAAGGAAGACCAAATTGCGGACTGCCACCAAGCTCGACTGGCGTCGGCGGATTTTGGGAACTTTTCCCGTTTTTTCAAAGGTTTTTTCCTGGATTTTGCATTATCGGGCTTCTTAGCTTCTTGGCTTCTGGCCTTTGTTCTCTTGGAGTCTGGGCTTTTTTGGGCTTTTGGCTTGTGGCTTTTTGGTTTCTTGGCTTTTGGCTTTTGGCTTTTTGGCTTTTTTGCTTTTTGGCTTTTCGGCTTTTTGTTTTTTTTGCTTTTCGGCTTTTTGGCTTTACTTTTTGTGGCCTTTGTGGCTTTGGCTTTCCGCATCCTCAGCATCACCAGCAACACCAAAGCATCGCTTTTGGATTTTTGATTGGTGGCTTCTTACCTCCCGTGTTTCTGTAGATGGGGGGGGGCTGCGCCCCCTCCAACCCCCCCGATTCTTTGTAGGCAACGAACTGCAATGAATCCAACGCCCACCCAAAACTCGCGTTTTGGCCCAAAACCACCCTAAGCTAACCCTAAACCACCACGAAACCCACCCTAAACCACCGCCAAAACTAGAACCAACCTTAAAACCAAACCCTAAAAGCCAACCTTAAAGAAACTCTAAAGTAACCTTAAACCAGCAAGACTCCCAAAAGAAAACCCTAAACAAACCCACTCCAAACCAGCGAGAGACGATCCCTCAACCAACTTTAAACCTACCCTAAACCCCAAACACACCAAACCAATCCCGAAACCCACCCCAACCCCACCCAAACCAACCCTAAGTCCGCACTAAGTGTATTATTCTGTTATTGATGCTGGGTTTGTATATACGATCCGCATTAAACCAGCACAAAGCCATTCCTAATAAGCCCACCTCAAACCACCTCCACTAAGCAAACCCTATGGCTCCCTAAAGCAACCCCAAAACCAATCCCTAACTCCCCGTACACCAGCACTACACCCAAACTGCACCCGCTCTGAACCCACCCTTAACAAACCCAAAGCAAACACGATACCCGGGCCCTACCCAAACCAAACCAACACTAAATCATCCCACCTAAGCACAACCACAGCCTAAACCAACTCGAAACTCACCCTAAACAGCCCAAAACCCCAAGAAGCCCACCATAAACCAGCAGTAAACCATCCCAGTCTTAAAGCGCAGCCACCCCCAAACTTTCCCTCAACAAGCCTGGAACCCACCATGAACCAACCCTAGCCAACCTAAACCCAGCCTAAACCCAGCCTAACAAGCTGAGGATGTTGAAAAGGATGCTGCCGCGTTAAACCGATGCCGGAGATGTTGAGCGCTGGTGCAAAAGGAGTCAAACCACAGCAGAACCAAGGGAGATTGCACCTGCCAGTTCCAAGACAGAAAATCCAGGAAAAAACCCAAAACAAAACGGGAAAACATCCCAAAACAAATCGGGACCCTTTCCAAAGTTAAGAGTCGGCTTTCTTGGGCGGTCTAAACTTCATGAGAAGTGGCCAAGCAAAGATTCCAGCCAACTGATTTGATTGCAATTTGTCATGGCATGCTGTTTGGAGAATCTTGTCAAAGAAAAACATGTTGCAAGACTCATAGCCATGACAGTCTTTTGCAAAGGTTCGACGACGCCTGGTTGAAGTCCGAAGGCTGGGCTTTGATTCATTTCGGCCGTGGATATGGAACGAATGGAGGGGCATCGAGTCAGAGCAGTAATGTTTGCTGGGCAGAATACATGCACACAAGGCAAGGCTTGCATGGTTCGGTGATTGACATTCTGGCCCCAGACAGAAACCCAGCCAAGCGGCACATCATGGAAACTCAGGAGAGCCTATGTCTTTTTGTTGCAGGCATGTTTACCAGCAGCATTCGAACCGACATAACATGTAGCTTGTCCATGTGTGACTCAGAAGTTTGACCATGAAGAGCACATTTGTGAAAGTGACCTGGTCGTGAGAGAATAAGGTGAGAGCACTCAACAGGCAGTGTCACGTTTTTGCGTATTACACCTTGGAAGTGCCGCATGCCTGCTTGCCACCTTGACAGGCCCGCGCCTTAATATTTGATGATCAAATGTGAATCGAGTTGTTGCTGTAGTGATGCTCTTGACGGCGAGAAGATACATCAAGGGAAATGATGATGTGGCCCTTAGGACGTGCCCAAGCATCTAGTCCCTTTGATACCTACCTACATGTGGAAGAAATATGGGTCCACATACAAGTCTGCGGCGTGCATTGTTGGTTCCCGAAATCAAACCGCACCAAGATCTGTTAGAGTGTGTACCAAGTTGGCTTCATCAAGGGACATACATTGTCTAAAATGCCAACCATGTTTGTGCAAGGACAGCTGCCTTGAGGTGCAAGAGGAGCTCTATGAAATGTTTGTGCCTCGCCTGTGCCAGACCAGATGCATCTTTGAGCTGCACTGGGCTCTACTCGCATTATGGCAAACGCAAAGCGTTGCAAGTTGAACCCACAAGTCAGTTTGATTCCACAGAAACGAGACTTGTCGTTGCAGTATCTTCCCACTGCAGTACAATCTTGGTGGCATGGCAATGCCTGAAACTGACACTTGCTTGGTTTTGACCTTATTCCTCATTGAGTTGCCTCAAATTCTGTGCCGGGAGATTGGGCATGTGCTCAGGATCCTGTTCAGCTTGCTGCTGGGCTGCCGGGGAGAGTCCAAGCCTGCCTTGATCAAGGGCGTAAGCTATGGGCCAGTTCCGCTGAAGCACCTCGCAGGAGGCGAGGGGCCGACAAGATGCTGTCAAGCAGCATGACACCCTCCACGTATTCTCCGACTTTTCATGAAATGCGCCATTGTTGTACACAGCTGGTACGGTCTATATTCTGAAGAGACCGAAACGAAAAGGGCAACAACACCAACACATTTTCACGAGCACATAATTATAGGGAAGCATGTCTTGCAACAGTTTGTTAGTGTGGACTAGCAAGTTTCGTGTCCATATTGGGCAGGCAGCTGGGGCAGACCTTGCAAGAAAAGTAATTACTCAGACAGCATGCAAACCATCCGGAAGCATCCCCCGGGCCCGTGAGGATGGCATAATCAATGTATCACTCACAAGCTCTCTTATGCTTGGCTACATTTATCCTGCTGCATTGCATACATTGTTCGTGGGACAGGTATTTCTACAGAGACAGCAGACTAAGTCGCAGCTTTGGACAAAAGCCAGGACAAAATACACCTGGTACATGTGGCTTGGGGACAGTACGGGAGGCAATCCACTTTGTAGACGCATGCAAACATATCGGAGGCAAGCGAGCACCATTTGTCCAAGAGAACCACGCAAACATAGACACACACACATGCAAGCTGACAGAGAAAGTCTTGCAATCAGCCTGGCGCACAGCTTATTTTGTTTTCATGGCTGCATACAACTGATTGTCCAGCTTGCGCTTTGTTCAAAAGTCATCCATTCATGCACATGTGTATGCCACCTGACACTGAGCAGCTGCCAGGTCAGTCTCTGCTTGCGCAAGACGATTGGATGGTTGAGGCAGCAAAGCCAATGTGGGGCGAACGGGGCCGCGATGATTTGCACGTGCCTTGTTCTAGAGGATTGCTTCTTCTGGTGGTGAGTGAAGACGGAGGTCGGACTCCGGCATGTGGAGGCTTTTACTTTGCAATTCACAAGTCAAGTGCGTACCTAAGAACCAACACAAACTGCACTATGTATTCTGAACAGGCTTGGGGCTTGACAATCGTCTCTATACATAGACTAGTATTTGCTTTGTATTTTTTCAGACTTTAGCCCAATGTCACTCCGCAACAGCCCAGGTAATGAAGCAGCTTGGAGCGAACATGGCGACTCTGCTTTACAAGCGCAGACTTCTTTCCAGCTTTCTTGACGCAGACAAAGCCGAAGCAGGACGGAGCACGTATTACGAAACGAGGGCTTAACTCAAATAACGCCCACAAACCTTTGCTTGAGAGCCCCTGAGACAGCTCCAAGCTGTGGCATGCCAGAGCTCCGACCCAGGTACGCTTGTACGGCAACAATCCGAACCAGAGTCATCACAGCTTCCTGGACAAAGCGCACCAGCTGGGCATGCAGGTGGTTCCTGGCATGAGTCCTTTGGCACTGAGGGAACATGGACAGCAACGTGCACATGGCATGTCGTTGCGTATTTGTCTGGCCGGCCTTTTCTTTGGCTTTGATTTTATTTGATCAACCCATTTCTGCCAAAATTCTGGTTACAAGTAGTGTGTGGCTTGGACATGTACGTGGTGTGGAGCAGTGCAGGCCAACCTGCCAAGCAGTAAAGATTACAGCAAGTTGCACGAATCGATGTAGAAGTGCGGGCAATGATGGAGGGCCGACTGGGGATGTGGAAACAACTTCGTGCAGCCAGGTCTTTAAGTGGAAGGATGCATTCTAAGGCAAGCAGTGAACGTACCACACTCTGCCACGGAGAATCTGTGCAGATGTGCTTTTGTGATGGGTTGCAGTCTATCCAGGAGGATGCCCTTTTGCTGGCAGTCTTGGGTTTCAAAGTGTTGGACGGCTATGTTTGTCACCCAGCCCAGGTGACTATCCTTTCATACAGATGCCGGACCAGAAATGTATGGACACAGATTACGATCCTTGGCATGCGCTTGCGCCGCTGGGATGACATTTGCTTCTTTTTCTTGGGGCGCACACGGAAAGAAGGTATACATCTGCTATAAGCGCTCGAACAGAGTGAAGGGCTTGTCGCAGGCCCAATACCAAGGACTGCTTCAATCAAAGTCGAGACCTTTATGCCTTGAACCTGGAGACAGGCTTTTTGACTGACTCCAAGGACCGTGGCCGCGTCACGCCCACGCGGGGCAACCTTGACGAAGCAAAAGTCCACTCTTGCTTTGCGCCGGGGACATTTGATCCGTTTTAGCACGCTATATCATGATCCAGAATTGCTATTTGTGAAGGAGAATCTCAGCAGATGTTTGGATGAATACTGTTTGCTGCATTCGACAGCACTTGCAGCTTATGACACTTCTGAATTACCTGTTCGAGCTGCACAGGAGTACCACCCAGCTCTGGCCTACTTCATCGTGATCAACGAGCCTGACCTTAAGTGCCCTGACATGAGCGGGCGAGACGACAACGGCTCATGATCCATTGCCTCGTATTGCAGCTAGGAAATTCGGCAGGCCTTTGTTTATATCGATGGTCCAGAGGCGCTCTTGGAATGAGCTGGCAGCATATGCTCGGAAAGTCAAGCAAATTGATGGTATGGCGCGGATTCCGGAACAGCGTTATCAAGCAGGTTGCTCATTTGACTTAGTTTAGTCAAGCCCGGGGAGGGTTTGAGGATGCCGCCTGCTGCCACAACGACACCTGGCGGCCCACGGCAGATGGTGAAGGCTGTGGTCAGTGCTTTGGATGGGCTGCTGGAAGCGGAGCCGCGTGGCCCATTGAGCTGCAGTCGAGTCAAGTCGAGTCAAGTCGGATCTCGTTTTCTTCAGAGTGGCGAAACTAAGCGATAACTTCTCAAGGCATGGAATGCGTTTGGCTTCCCAAAGCTGTGCGTGCGGGACACGTGTTTTCTTTGCCGCCGCAAACAAGCTTTTGCTTGTAAGGAAAGAGGCCAACGTGAGTGGAATTCTCATCAACTTCACTGCAACTTTCTCCTATGCTGTGCCTTGGCATTACTGCAATGATGCGTCAGGTTTTCTGATGCTGAACGAGAATCGGGCAGTGATATGTGCTGTGGCTTTTGTCTGGTGCGTAGTTTGTGGCTGAATGGAATAGTGCGAAGTTGAAGATCTTGCAGAAGCAGTGCCATTTTTGCCGCATATGTGGCTGCAGGAAAGCAACTTGTGAGTGAATGCTCATGGAATTTCCACGATTAGCCTTGTAGCGAGTGCTGACAGACTTTTGAGGCTTCACTTGTACTTGTAGATTGTCTTTGACACACGAGTTCCGCTTTGATCATCACATGCAGGCTTTTGGCGCTTAGTCACTCAGTATTGTCTTTTGAAACCAGCCTTTGAAGCAAACATTCAAGAGCAAGTGAGGGCAAAGGTGAATTCATCAAACAGAGGTAGCTCGCAACGCTTGTGGTGAAAGTCAAACGAAACATGCCTTGGCTTGTTTTGCTGCCAGGATTTGTTGCCGATGATGCGATGATTCTTTACTAGTAAGTCGTGAGGCATGGCTGCCTGGCTTGGCATCAGGTCTGCCTAGCGTGTGATGAGCTGAATTACGCTCCTGCGCTGGGGCAGATGGCCATTCTGGAGGATGCCATGTTGCACCCAGAGCAGTACGGTAGCTCGGCCGCAGAGAGAACATGCTCCAAGTGCAGCTTCGGGGAAGGTTGGCAGCGGAGTTGCTTTTAGGTTGTTGCAGTGTCAAGTATTGGCTGAACACATTTTGTTACATGTTTCTTGATCATCGCCTGCACAGGCTACGAGCCGCGCAACAATGCGACTTGCCCGCATGACCAAAGTTCACAGCATGGTCTTGCACGGTGTCTTTCCCTTCTCCTGCTGACCTTGGTGATGCGGAGGTGTCGGAGGCGTACCTCACCCGGTGGACCCAGAGCTTCAACACCAACAACCCAGCCCGGGATCTGGAGCCACAATTCTTTAGCAAGTACCCGGCTAGGCGGGGCTACTCGGGCCACTGGGGTTGGCAGTTTTGTGTCCCCTGGAATTCTGAGCTTATAGTTCAAAGAGGCAATTGGGAACCAGTGATGCGCATGGAAGATTCGTGGCTCGGGTGTGCCCGTACATTTTGCATGTGAGTGGCAGATCAGGTTACATTGTGATGAGATTGTGCATGCTTTGCAAGTAGTTGGCATGTGAGTGGTCTTTGCCAAAGCCAGGTTTCCTAGCACGCCGGTCTTCGTAGCGGATTCTTGGTATTCTGAGAGAGGCTTTTCATTGGTTGTTATGTGGCTCAGGCGCGCACGCTTCATGCCATAACCGGTAACTCATAAACAGATACATGAATGGACCATGGTTCGGAGCACATTAGCAGGTATTTGCTGTAGGAAGAATGCCCGATGTGCTGAATGATCACACTATCAGCAGCAACAACCACAAACCTGCGTTGAATGCTGCGCGCATGAACTTGGCAGAACTTAGGAATACCACAGTCCGATTCTGGCGTACCTGCGGCCACCCATGACTTTGGAAGAAGACCTGGAGCAGGTGCTGTTGCTGCAAAGCATGGCAGATGTCATTTGTTCAAATCAAAGCCTCGTGATTCACTTTTGCGTAGCCTTTGCATCGTCTGCAAAGCTGTGCCAACTGCGGAATCTGGAGGCGCTGAGCTTGGCGAACAGCTCCGCCACCCAGCCTGCAGTTGGGTTTGGGATAGGCTGCTCGCTACTGAAGGACCATTGAAGAGAAGCTAAGTTTGATTGCGGTGGGGCTTTCCAAGGACCTGTTCCTTGGTATCTTCTTCTTCCAGTATCAGGCTGGCCAGTGTGGAGCTGGAGTCTTTGCAACTCCCAACTCCACAGGCTATGAGAGTCTCCTGTGGTAATGGGAATCAGGGCCAAGCCTCGTTTTTTTGAGTCAATGGGTCCTTTCTCACATCCCGTGATGTTTGCCAACCAGATGATGCTTTGCCCTCAGATGGCCTACTGGAAGGGAGGCTCGGAGGAGAACTTTGGGCTTTTTGGCCACTCGTCAGCAGCACTCACTCCAGCGCTCTTTACTCACCTTCTCGTCTGGGGACCCTGTTTCTGTGCCTGCAACATGCTGCCAAACCAATGAGCACACTGAGCAACCCACACACAGACAACATGGAGTTGGCAAGCCAAACTTTTCCAGCGCTTCGTTTGCCATTTTTATTGAGAAGAGGCTGAACTTCATATCAAACATAATTTGGATTGGGTGACATGAGCAGGGCACTGTTTCTGTTCGCCAGGGGTGGTTCTTTTTGCCGAGTGGGTCACTGTCTACCATCTATCCTGGAAGGATTGTTTGCCGCCTGTGGAACGTCGATTTTCGGTCGTTTCAGGTCTTGGGGACTATCGTGTTGCCGAGATGCCTTACTACGGCACCACCTATGATGATGCTTGTCTCGTTTTAGCGGATGTTTCCGGGGGGGGGTCGGGGATTGCTCGCCCTTCGAGATCTGCACAGATGAGGGATCGATTCGCACATTTGTTAAACGTTCCAAGATTGATACTGGGCACTGTACAGCTTTACCTTGCCCCCAAACTGGCATGTATTAAGGCTTTTGAAAGGAGTCTAGATTGTGAAACCGTTGCAAGGACCTAAGTGAGACTGCCACAGGCTGCGCTCTGTTCCTTATGCAACAGAGCCAATCCATACCTTTAACGCGCTCATTGATGGTGGGGCTCGACAAGCGGAGTGACTCAAAGTTGAGGAGCATTAGGGCAAACTCAAGGCCGATGTTGAGGGTTTTGGCCTGTTGACAACGTATTGTCAGCGCCATGATCCTGCCCTAGTCTGGCACAAGGTGTGGTGTCTACAGCCTCGCGTGACATCCTCAACTCCTGACTCGTCAATGTCGCAGGTGCTGACAAAGGCCGGAGCCTGCATTTTGATGTGATAATGGTGCTAGCTTGGAAGTGTGCCAAGTGGCTTCTTACTTGTTACTGCTTTTTGCCGAAAATGAGATCGAGCGGGAATCTGGGGGTTGCTGACGTTCTCTGGAGCTACGGGATTGCCGTTGCGTTAAGGTGTACGAGGGACCTGGCCTGGACTACGAGCCTTGGCAAACTTCAGTGACGACCCATGTCTCAGCTTGCGGTTTGCGGTTTGCGGTGTGCGTGGGCCTCTCTTTGGGGTGGGGATCGTTCTTGTGCGTAGCGCACATGTGGGGGTCTGCGCAGGAATTCCTGTGCAAGCCGAATCCCGTCGCTTGTCAGCAATTGACTGCAATGCTGGAGTCGGCTCCTGTGCGACAGGAGCAGTGTGCTTTTGAATGCACATGCATGTTTCATTGCAGTGCAGAGCAGAAAGTGTGATTTGCCCCCAAAAGACCTCATGTTCTGCAAACTCTGCATGGTATTTTCTTACTGTATGTTGCGAGCGCAATGTCATCTTCTGGCTTCTGTTTTGGCGATTGGCACACTAATTAGACCCTTCGAAACCAGGCAAGCGTGGCCATTTCTGCTGATGGCTTTCGGGACATTGTGTCCCAGGCGCACATGAAGATGCTTTGAGCGAATTATACAGGAATTCCATGTCTGACCAGTGTGAAACTAGAACGGATACCAGACCGCTACTGTGCGTTGAAGTCTTTGCAGGGCGCAGCCCGATTGGCTGTTTTTGCCAAGAGAGTGGTGGAGCACCTGGGTGCTGTCGCAGCTTGGAAAGGAAGGGTATGGCCAGCAATGGACACATGATACTTTGAGTGTCCAGATTTCGTGGCCACGCTTGCTGTGGCTCAGCAACCGAACAAGCCACGCGAGCCGTGGGGATCAGGTCTAACAGAGCTTTGGGTCAGGTCAGCAGCGACTCGGGCCTGAGATCCTTCAGCGCCAGCATGGTCAACAAGAGTCTCAGCCGCAGGTCTGCTTGGCCACTCTCTGGGACTGCAGTGAACTTGTGACTTCCATCTCATGAAGTCGCAAGAAGTGACTGCTTGGCATCTAGGTCCTATGCTGACTTGGTCATCGCCATTTCCCACAAACCGGTGGCAGCCTGAGCCAGTTGCAATTCAAAGACTCTGACTGGACCGCTGTTGATCCAAGCAGTCCATGTGCAAGATTAGCCTTGTTGCCGTGCACCTATTCCTCATTGGTAAGTTTTTCACAAGACACATGTTGGCAGATTCAACAGGTTTCCAAGCCGAAGCTGAGTTGAGACAGTCAGGGGAAGTGCGCCTTGCACCTGGAAATCTTAGTTGGCCAAGGTGAAGGGGCACTGTTGGGAGCGTTAAAATGGGTCGCGCGATGCTTGCGCGCCATCTAATTGGCTGCCGCTGGGTCCGCTGGGAGTGCTGAAGGCTTGGACCTCCTTCAGCTCCTCCGCTGCCTGTGTGGCTGATCGCACGGCGGATGCTGGACAGGTGGGAGCAGAAGCTTGGCACGAGACCCTCGCTTGGGCTCCGATATGGATATTTTCTGAGTGGCTGACAAAACGAAAGCCGGCATATTCCATCAAATCTAAGGTCAGCTGGCAGAAGCTGAAGATCATAAATGTATTGACAGCCATCCCGCAGAACCCAATGCAAAGCACCACTGTACTCCATTCTGGAAAGGGGATCCCAAAGGACTGCATACTGCATACCTCTCCCACGCTCTCCCAACGACGAGGATCGCAGAAGATTCAATGAGATTCACACAAAGTATGGAAGTATTTCGATGCTCCACACTCTGACAGTTACAGTCAATTCAACTGCGTCGGCTCTTGAGGTGCCATTCTTTACCTGAGCTGTACAATGCCTTACCATGCCACAGTTTGGGCCAACGTCCGCAATCTTGAGCCTGGCACGTCAGACCTTTGTGACCTCACGAAAGGGCACCACCGAACACGAGAAGAAGTGCATGCAATACTCAAAACAGAGCAGTCAACGAGTCAACATTACTCTCTTGGTCTTAATGACTGTTTGCGCGACCTTGTCGGCCAAGGCGATTTCTTGGCTTTGTGGACACACACCAGGCTTCTCCTGCGAGGCGGGGCTACAGGCCAAGCGTGATGTTCCGGCAACTTGCAGCCGTTCTTGTGGCATTTTGTCAGGTTGGAATTAAGAGCAACTTGTTGTTTTCGTTGCTGCGTTCCAGAGACAGCTTCCCTCCTTGCCACGCTGCGCGATCGCTGTGTGTTCTTGCCTCGACAGGTCCCTGAAAGCTGTGCGTCAGACGCTTTCAGCACTGGAGACTGGCTGTTCAGCCGCTGGTACCAGCAGGCTGGGATGCTGTGAGATGATGCGTCATTGCAAGTACCTCAGATCGGCAGTCGAACCAGGTCCGATTTGGAGACTTTCACAAGGATAAGGACACGTGTTCGATCTAGTTGGAGAAGAATTATCAGCGTGTCAAGTGACATATTATTGCGTATGTGTCTCTGAGGCTCTGGGTAGTGCAACTGGATAGGGCCTTCTGGCCCTCATCTATTTCTTCGGGGTTACATGTGACTGCGTCAAAGTAGCAGCCATGAACTCTTCCCTGAAGCATTTGTTCGACAGGCCAACATGAGTGCCAGAGTGACACCGTTTCATTTGGCCTTTCCTAGTCACGACAGGTGGGCAGAGATCCCCTGATGGACTGCAACTTCGGTGGTGCAGCTATTTTCGCAACTTGCCAAAGAGTTGGGAAGGAACCAGTGTGCAGCTTCAGTTTGTTTTTGCCCTTTGAACACAACCGAAAGCGGCAAGCGTCAGAACATCGAGTCTGAGGATGCCTCGGACTGTCAAAGTCTTGGCAAATGATAGGAAAGTACATAAGTTCATGTTTTCTGGAATTCCGCCAACAGCATGTTTCGGGATTTCGATTTGAAAGGGGTCACATTGTATCCTTGGACCAGATGCAACATAATGACTAAGCACCACAAGCTTTTCGCAGGGGTTGGAGCTGAAATAGACAACGAGCTTGTTGTTGCCTTTTTTTTAAAGGTTGTTTTATTTGTCCCTGGGTTTCGTGGCTTTTGGCAGCTTTTGCGGCTTTGGCTGCCCTGTCCACATCCTCGGCATCACCAGCAACAGCCCAGCATCACCAGCAACCTCCTCCCAACCCCACCGTGAACCCAAATGTCGAGAGCTTGTTGCGGGTTTTCGTGTCTTTTGGTGGCTTTTCGACCTAGAACCGCCCAAACGCCACTGTCCCATCTTAAACCAACCTTAACCCGGCCTTAAGTTCACCCCACACACACACACCCCAATGAAATCTTGAAGAAACCAACAACCCACCCAAAGCCAGTCCGAAACAAACCCGAAGCAAGCCGCAAAGCAACTCGAAATAGCCTCACCCTAAACTCCGTCCAAACCCAGCACTAAACCATCCCTGAACCACCTAAGCCAAACCCACACCAACCCTTGATCTTCCCCATGCAAACCCTAAGCCAACCTAAACCAACCGTCAACCCAGCCTAAAAAAAAAAAAACAATCCCACCCAAGCACCCCTAATCAAACCTGAAACCCACACGAAACTCATCCTAAACCAAAGCTTCTGGTGATGCCAGGGGAACACCGATACCGGGGTGTCAATAGCGATGCAGTGTTGGTGATCACGAGCTAAAAGAAAAATGCATCCTGAAACAGAACCAACATCCTGAAATAAAGCTCTCGTAGACGGCTGTCTACCCCTCAGAATCTAGAGCCTTTGGTTTGCCATTGCCCCCCCAGGTGGCCAACCAGGCAGTGCGAAAGCGGCGTTTGGTTGCCGGTTACCATGTGCTTGTCGTTCCGGAGGCTAGCCCAGCGCTTCGCGGCGACACGCCCTGCAGCGCGCGCCTGCGTCGGCTGGGAACCGCCGCTTGCCTGCAAGGCTGTTCAGTTTGGCCGGAAGTCTGTTGCCTATATGTTTATTTGCCTTGGCTGGACAATTCAGTTGCCAGCTCACTTCACGAACTCTTGGAGTGCATTTGACAATCGGATAAGACGAAGCCGAACCATGCTGCGAGGTTCTGGTGTGACCTCCGCGCGCGGAGTGTCTCTAAATTGTTTCTTTTTGTGGTGCCAAACGTGCCCTCGGAGTGCATGTGGTGAAAGCCGCATGAGACGCGTATAGTCTTTTGACGTTGTGCTATGTATTGTGCTGATGCGCTTTATGCATTGCCTTGGTAATTTGCAATTGCTAGAGCTTTTGGCTTTGGCAGGTTCAGCTTGCACAGAGTTGCTTGAATAGAAGCTTTTTGTCGCTTAGGCGATGCCAGTCATGACCAGTGTTTGACACATTTGTCCCATTTTGTCAGTGCGTGACTGTGTGGCATGTGCTTACAAGTCTAGGAATTTCCAGGACCTCCACAAGCTTGTTAGGGGCTGGGCATTTGTCATGAGACCTGAAGAAAGGAGCAACTGCACAGTTGATTGTTGACTTGGCTTCCCGGGCAAGCAGCCTCTGCTAATTCATGTAGGGTGAGGGCTGCGCGCAGCTGAAGCAGCATTGACATCTTGCTGCATGGGTGGTCGCGGCCCCCCCCAGCAAGTTTTAGAAGCATGGACGTGTCTCCGGAAGAACCACCTAAACCAATATTAGCCTTCTTGACCATGCTACACAAGCAACAGTGGCGCAGTGGAATTATTGTAGCGCCGAGTATCGCCAGCGGTGCGACTTGCCACCATTGTTTGACAAAGAGTCTGAATGGTTTTCAATTGCGCTCTTGTGAAATGACGTGCTCAAGCAGCAAGGTGCCTTTCGAGACGGTTCAGTCACAATTCAAAGCGTACCGTGCAACGGAGACATCTCCATGGTGAGGCCTGCCACCTTACAGTTGGACAGGCATTGTACAGGCCCCGTTTCCGCAGAGATGCCGTTTGAATGGGACCCAAAGGTTCCCGTGGCAGGCAAGAGGATGTGGCACCGGTTGTGGTGCCTGCTTTCTTGGAGTACGGAAGACCGAGGCAAGAGTTCAATGCTTTTTTTGCCCCTTGCCTCTCTGCTATGCATAGTGGCGACTGTGAAGCCGCGAAGCCCTGAATTCAAGCCCGAGAAGCCGGGAAGGGAACAGGACGCGTGAGGATCGGTGCACCTCGAAAGTCCAGGCTCCTTCTGGCTTTGCTGGCTGGACCTTGGAAGGAGGAATGGATCCTGTTCCAGCTTCTGAAAGTCATGGTCCTGAATGCCATTCCTTGCATTCTGAGGAATTGAGCCAGGTTAATGTTGCCTTCCTTTGCGAAAGCTCATGCCTGAGCTCGGATGCGTGAGACATCTGAGGTGCTGAGTGGGAACCTAGGACTTAGTGCTTCTGACCATCCTTGCTGCTATCCTCACTAGATGTTGGTATCCCGGTAGTCGCTTATTCTTCGTGACCCCTGGCGAGGCATGCCAGAAGCACAGTGGAATTCAAGAAGGCCTCAAATTTGGGTCTCCTTGACTCAATGGTTGGCGAGAGCTCCAAAGGCTCGGAGAG